ACCCCCACCACCCATCAGGGTTGTAGACAAGCTAATGGTTTTGTGTTAGAATGCTGATATTGTTTATTATTAATTGTGTTCAGTCTCATAATTTTTACGAATATATTACATTAAAGTATTTTAACTTTAAAGTATTATTCGTACTCGTATGCAATAATTTTTGGATTGTGATTTTTATAGTCGTCGTTATACAATGTATTCTATAGAGTATGATTCCCCAATGATAGTAGATACAAATTACAAAATCGATATATTTAAAGAATTGCAAAACCCATACAGCTTTAATAATTTAACAACTGTCAACTTTGCTTGTTTCTGTATCATTGTAGAATGTAGATACTCGTCCTAAGTAGCGATTGTGGATGAAATTTGTGAGCTTCAGTCAAAACCAACGACATCGTTGGTCACAACATACTGAAACGCAGTTGGTTAACCAAAAACAAACAGCAATGCTGTAGTAGATAGTACGATTTCCCAAGAGCGATCGTGGATAAACATCATGCCCGATCAGTCATAACAACAACTGTAACAATATTTGTTAACAAACAAATCCATTTTGGTTGCCGTCAAGGGATACACCAAACACCAAGCTTTTGTTAGCTGTTAATTTTCAGGAGAATGTTATGGAAAAGCCTTATCTACTTGATTGTTTACAAACTAATGTTATCAAAATAACAACACTGTCATTTTACAAATGAGTTGATGGTAATAACTAATAGTCTTTAATAAAAAGCCTGTTTTAACAAAATAACTGCTAGACACATCGAGTGAGCCACATTTAGTTCTCAACTCAACGCTGTCTGCCAACTTAAGTCATTTATTATGTAGTCGATCCATTTGTCTGTCAGTGACACTTGGGTCGGTCTGGTCATGGACAGTTCTATCAGACAGTAAATGGACTTTACACACAAACTACGTGTGTGGAGCAATCTCAAAATAGCTAACTACTCTATTAGGTATTTAAAAATATTTTACTTATTAGTGTTAGTAGACTGTCTGGTGTCTATAATTAGAAAAAACTAATTAAATATACCATCAAATTTGTTCGAGTTAGGTCCATAAAATACAAAATGTTTTTAAAATCATTCTAGCCGTTTTTTGTAAAAAAAAATCGTTATTCGATGAGCTTTAAATGGGAAAATCGCCATTGAAAAATCAAAATTTGAAAAAATCAAAAGATCAACAAGCGATACCATGGATTAGTGTATGTTCCAAATTCCACAGGTGTATATAGCCCATATAGGTGTATATAGGTGTGTGTCTATAGCACTTGTCTCACTTAAATACACACAAGCACCACTTTAAAAAAAATTGGGTTCAGGATGACCAAAAACGGATATTCCCACTCAAAACTCCAACTCGATTATTTTGATAAAAACAATACCATCTCCATGTACAATTTATAGGGGATAAAGTAAAAGTAAGTAATATATTAAATACAAATACCTACAAAAAAAAATAATAAACACTTTTCTTTGAAGAAAACATTTACCTTATTTAAGTAAAAAGTTATAGAACCAATTCAATATTTACTGTTTATCAATTAACCACTTGTATGACAAACGTCAAACACACAGACAACTCAAATGCAAGTTCAAATACAAATAGTTACACTCAATGTCCAATAGAAGATCAATAACCACGATGTGGCTGTTTACATAAACCTCCATGTTTGATTAGTAAACAACGCAGAAGAGGTAATGAGAACTAAATTGAATCAGTCATGATGCATTGAAACATTTAACTAAAATGCCGCCATCTCGTATAAGACTTGTACTACTGCTTGTTGTATATTGTGTGAAGATTGCATTTTTCTAATATATAATAAATTGCCAACAAAATGTGCAAGTGAACAAATTTTAATCAACACAAAACATTGTGCACTGTGAAATAATTGTAATCAAAATTTCAAACATCTTTGGTATAAGGTTCACTGTGCCTTAATGTTGAGATGTTACGATTGCCCATGAGTAACTTTTAACTTGGTATGGAGCCTAGACTTTTTAACTCACTTAACACAATTACAAAACTACAGGGACAATTTCTAATCCCACATTGCCCTAGATTTTTAATTACAATCACTTTGTTATTTGAAAAAATATATTGGGAAGATAAATAACTTTTTAGCAGCTGTTTGAAATTAATTCAAGATTGCCGATAGCCTCTAATGACTCTTAAATGAGAACAAAAACGGTTTACAGATACAGTATATCTATTTTAGCAAATCTCTGTTCCAAATTACGTAGTTCTATCATTACATAAAGCAATACAAAGCATCAACTTTAACAGGTTTTTAAGGTAAGAAGTTAGGCCTACTAGCGTAACATGGTGTGGTAATTTTCTTTGGCATAAACATCTATCAAACATGTTTTACAGCAGGTGCAGAGCCAGTTATGATCATGTTAAAAACTTGTCTAAACTTTGTTGAAAGTCAACTTTGATTAATTGTCCCAATTTACTTCGCAAATAACTTTATATCTAAATGTTTGTAATTTGTATAGACGCTTTTTCTTTTTATCAAGAAGTTGTCAGCTTTTAAACTTCATTTAGCTTTTCACATCAACCTACTCTGTTGCATTGGATTTGTCACATTTGTAATTTAACCCTTCCCAGATGGCCTATAGTATGTATACAGACAGCAAAATTATTTTATTTAAATAAAAACTAAAAAATATCTAGTTTACATCTATAATTTAAAGAATGTTGTAAATAGTTAACCTACCCAGCACTTTAGTACTAAATATTTTTGTTTACTTTTTTTATTAAGCACTTTTTTGCATAAACAATTTTTTATAAATGAAATTTCTTATTCTTCTAGAAAAACCCTCCAAGTACATCGTTGAAGATATAATTGAATAAATGGATGTTTTTTTTTATGAAGATTAATGAGGCTATAGACAATCAACTATAACAATAGCTGTAGTATTGGCAGATATTCCGCCAATCAACCAACCAAAAAGGGCTTTTTGTTTTAGCCCAAAAAGGTAAGCCTACCGTCCCAGCCCCTTCTGCTATGCACAAAATGCTAGCAGATATATCCCATTATAGTTCTGGAAGGGTTAAATTATTGAAGACAGCCAATTGAGTGTGTTTTTAACCAACATTCAATGTTTTCTCGTCTGAAAATATTTTAAAGGCTAAAATAGTTGACACAAATGAAAATAAACATAATTTTTATTCGAGAAGTCATACAAATAAACATGAGCACCCACAACAACGTTTTAGTTTTTAGAATCATCACATGCTACCGGTACTGCTTTACTCAACAAATGAAATAATATTACATTACAGAGCACTGACCATGTTTGCATTTCATAATGAAGCGAAAGTTTATTTTGCATAACACATTGTGTGTATTTATTATTATTGCGGAATGAAATTAAATGTTTTCTGAAATAACAACATTTTTACAAACTTATCTGCTAATAGAACATAGATAAAAAAACATTTTTATGTATTACTGAGGATTATTACATGCATTACATTTATTTTCCAGGTAATGAATTTTGAATTTAATAATTTGATGGAATAATTGAATAAATAGGATTTAGAGTACAATAATATTCATAAAAGTGACAATACGCTTACACAAAAACAAAATAGGCCTACAAAAGTAGATTTTTATTTTAGTACAAAAAAAGTCATAGCTTCTGAAGATATAAAATTGAATATCAATTAATTTGTTTCTATTATAGGAAATTAATTACAAATTATTTAACAAGGTAAAGAAACTTATAAGAAAAATCAGTAAGGAATCAAATAACTCTAATTGGGCTTATTTATTTCACATAGTGTGTTTCATGTAGAAAAAGGTGTTGTGAGCAAAATAAACAATCAAGAAAATACATGTTGGTACGTAACAATCCAACAAACATTCACATTTAAAAATAATTCTGTATGATATTAGGGATCACAGTAGTACAAAAGTATTAAAACACTTCCATATTTGATCAAGGATTTCTAACTAGTTACAATTAACATTTTAGTAAAGATCACTTGGGCTCGGGTATAAGGTGCCTTATACAAGTTATATTTTTATTTACCAAAACCAAATTAAATTAAATCTCTATTTAACAACAATCTTTCTGGGTAGATGAGTTGTTAAAGTGTTTGCTTTCAAATATAAGGTTGTTGAGATTGATTCTGGATCCAGATGGGATTTTTCATTAGACTCTAGCCCGGAACTGTTTTCACACATTATTTCATGTTAGACCTAGAGGGGTACGTGGTAATAACATGGGTAAAATCTTTGACTGTCAATGATAAAATCCATTGTTGAATGGCAGGATTTGAGCCTTGAACCTCTGGGTCCGAAGTCCTGCGCTATCACTAGACCAGCTCGCTCACCGATATCAATTATTATAACAAATGGTTTATGTAAGAAAATAACAAGTCCATCAGGCTGGAACTAACCAAAAATTCTGTAAAGGTAAATTGAGACATATTGAGTCATCTAGAGTCAAATTTTTTTACTTTTTAATAAAGAAAAATAAAGATTTTGAGAATTTACAGATACAAACCAAATAATGTTTATGTTTTACGTGACTAAGTACATCTCAATTCCAGAAAGACCATATAACTGTAAAATGTTATTATTTTATTAAATGTACCTATGTCAAGCAATCTTATGTATGCGTACGATTAATACTTTTCACTATTTAATCTTGTTAACAGCACTCGCTGCAGCTGGTTATGTTATATGATCTGTAAAATAACTATTTCAGTGCTTGGTATTGCACCCTACAACCACTTGGTTTTGAAAACCATAGTTACAAAAATAATTTCAATCGGTGGTCAAGCACTAAAGTCATATTCTTACCAATTAAAAGCATAGAGATGTTGTTCTTTTTTAATTCAGCTTTAGGCGTAAACATATAGAGGTGATTCCAGAAGTTATAGCTACTAATTGGCATGGTTATTTCACTCAAATACTTACTCCATTTTCATCAAAAATATACTTAATTGTATTCTTATAAAAATAGACAATACTTAACCACCTTTATCACTTTTGTACTGATACTAGTATAAAACTTTAGGCACATTATGAGAATATAGTTGGTAACTATCAGATGGAATCCAGAGTGTTTAACCCTCTAGTTCTTTGGAGGGAAGCTGGAGCCGGCTTTTTGGAGGGAACTGGTAGAGCCTCAAGCTTGAGAGGTCTTCTTACCAACTCCGGGGATGTTCGGAAACCTCCATTCTTGGAATTTTGAACTGTAAACAAACATTTCCATTGAAATTCAAATCCAGTTTCTTGGACCAAATAAAAAAAAATATAAGTAAAAATAAACCAAAAAATCTTAAGAAATAAATTAAAAACAAGTAGAACTAATTTTATAAGAGTAAGTTGTACTTGAATCACTGTTTTATTTAGTTTAGAAACACAGTGTATAATACAAGGAGACTATTTTTTTTTAAATTTACTTTGTTATAGTAAAAATCCTACTAATATCAAAATGTGAAAGTTCGGATGTTTGTGAGTATGTCATAATGCAGGGGGATTCACATAAAACTACTGTTTTACTTCTTTTTTACTATTGATTTTAAATTGCAGCCCACTTTTTAAACTTCAATACTGCAGGCAGCACAATGATACTTCGACGACTGGACTCTGAGGAGAGAAACCTGTGTAAGAAATCGTAATATTAGCGCTTGTCTATCGGCGTCGGACGGAAACGTTCCCTTACCTTCTAAACAAACCCTTGTATATAAAGATAACTTTACTGTCACAAAACATGCAAACCTGTGGCCTACATTTACAGGAGGTACATGAATTTCTTCCGAGTTTGGGATACCCCAATTTAAAACAGCACAGCTTTTCATACCTGCCCAAGGACTTGTGATCTGGCCTGCACCCCAGGAACTGTTGAGGAACATCTGACCAGGTAGGGGGTTTAGTGGACCCGTGGGGGGAGCAGGGACCCCTCCAGGCAGAGGGGGAACTGTGGCTCCTGGAACTGGCTTGATGAAACTTGTCTCTGAAACAATGAAACAATATAATAAAATATATCAATGAAAACTCTAGACTTCCACGGTAGTACGCACAAAAGATTATCTTGTTGTCTTCTAAGTCAGACAGGGTCGGATAGCTGTGTTTCGATGGCGAAGTTTCTATAATCTAAATTAGTAAATTATAGATAGTGTATTAAGCTTTTTCCTTCCTGAAATTTCTTTTTGGACCTCTTCATTACCCTGTTATGCAAGTGTAACTGATATTAAATCAATTTCAGGAAGAGTTGTTGGTTGGTGAGTCGGTAGCTCATTCGGTAGAGCCACAGACTTCGAGGACAAGGCAACCATGTTGTTGGCTCAAATCCTGGTACCTACAGCTACTTTTTATTAGTAAAATTTACTTTTGTACTGTACCGGCTCACCTTTGCTTTGCTAGATACATTCCACGCACAAGCCCAAGACTCATGTGTATGGACAAACGGAAGGGTAAGAGCCCGCCAACCTCTTTAAAAATAAGTTTTAAAATGTTATCTACTTTACCTCTCCATCCATTGACAGGCCTCCCTGCTTCCTCCTTGAATTTAATCAAGAGTTCCGTTGCTCTTTTTGGCTTGAAGTAGTTTCCAGCAAAATCCTCTTCATCGCTTTTTTGTAGTCTCTGTATTAAAAAAAGACAACAACATATAGTTAGCAATCAAAACAACAAGATGTTTTGCAGATTTTTATGCATACAGAAAAAACTAGTTTTCCCATTTAATATTATTTTGCTAGTTTCAAGTTCCAACCATTATTGATGAGATCATTTGGTTTTTCTAGCAGCAAGACATATTTTTGGCTTCAATTATTGAACCTAGCTGAAAGTTATTACAAAAATATATTATTAAAGATTCATAAAATATCTGAAAAAAATTATTTGATATAAGTTAGTATGTGTATTGTGTAATGGGTAGCAGTAAAAATATTTAAAACTATTTTATTTAAATTTCAAAATTTTATATTAATGTGTAACCGTTACAATTTAAAATCTTCGCTGAAGGCGTTAGCAATCGAAACATGTTAAATCCAGGCAGCAGTATAGTACTTTGCAGAGTAGTAAGGTATTTGTGCATGTTTCAACAAGAAAAAGCTTGATGCAAAACGGTAATTGTGTTGTGAGTGAAATAAAAGTCTTACACTTGATCCCAAAAATGTAAAATTACCTTTAAAGGAAAGGAATTTTTAAACATACTTTTAATAAAACTCAGTGGTAACTATAAAATAAAATGTGGTAATACAACATCTTCTATTATCAGTTGCAACTTTGGTTGGTATAGCTAAAGTCTGGTTGCCATCGTATTTTGTAACGGTAAATGACAGAAAGCAGTTCATTAATCAAACACATTGATAGTAGCCAGAAGGATGGCTGTGGGTATAATCACAGTTCAAGTTCACTTGTTATTACAATAAACAAAAAGATCAATGTGAACCAATAGGCAAAGAGTTAAGGAAAACCCTAATATTCAATTGCAATTTATTTTCTTGCTTTCCACTCAAACTACTTATGCTCTGAAACAAAAGTAGGCTTTTACAACACACTCACAGACACAAAGAGACTTTGTGGCAGGGAGAGACCCTGGCCCAAGGATGTCGCCAATCAAAGCGAGAAAATAATGAATTGTAAAACGGAGGAAAGTTTGTAAGTTAATGCTAACAGTATTTGCATAGAAAAAGTTTTTATTCCAACAGTTAATGTAGTGTTGTTATTCCCCAATGAATGACCATTGCAAGCTAAAAATAGAAAAAATCATGCTACTTTCAACTGTGCTGTGCATTATGCTCATTGTAAAAATTGCTGGACAGAAACAATGTCTTACGCAAAGTTGTGATTAAAGTGTTTAAGTTAGTGAAATCTACTACTCAAATTCAAATTGTAGCATTGTCTTTTCATCTACTAAGTTAGGACTGAGGGTAAGATTCTACAAGTGTACCTGAGAAGGGTTAGGAGGGTCTGCCTCAGGGGATGACTGGGGGCTTGTCTTATCACTGGTGTTATCGCTCTTATCACTGCCCCCACTCCATGCAACACCTGCATGCAACAACCACACATGCTTACAACAACAATACAACTTTGCTTCTACACACATATGGATGTTGGACAAAGACTGTGATCGTTGAGCGGAACAGCTGATAAACAGGATGGTCAGTGATGATTCTTTGAGTATGAATAAAGGAAAAACAATCCTCAAAAGTAAAATTAGGAGGGCTTATCGAATTGTCATCCTTCTATAGGCTCGAGTCCTGACACCTTGTACAATGGTTGTCAGTAAATGAAGATCTCCATTGAGCTCTCGTAGCGGACTAAATCAAATTTACGACCAATACCGTGCTCTTTACATCATACTCTACTATTCTAGCAGATTCCCACTTCTACGCATGAAATATTCTTGTGGTAGCCGAAAACTATGAGAAGGAAAATCAACATTCCTACTGTAGTATGAAAATATAACTTGCGTTCTGTGAAATCCCTGTGGGAAGGAGGTAAACTCCATTTGAAATCTATTGTCAGTTGACAGATTTGTATGGAAACAAGTCTTCTGATGTAGAAAATGTGTGTAATATGCTTAAGAATTTACAGAATGAAGTCCCAGGGTTGCTTTAGTAAATGGGCCCGCGCCAGGGGCGCGGGAGGTTTTAGGTTCGTTGGGGGCACAAGGAAGAGAAAAATTACCCGCAAAGAAGGGAGGAGGGAGGTGAATATGTCTCTTGGAACGCTGTGTCCGCTGTTAGGGAAATACCACCCTGCCCCAAACTTTTTCCTCTCCTCTTAGGGTGTACAGTTTAAAAAGTACCTAGCTCCTGAAAATTGTGAGTAGTGGAAGAAGGATACTTGTGTGCATGCGAATCTCGCTCGCCACTCTAAATTATTTTATCTAGAAGTGTCAATAGATGGGATTTCTAAGTCAAGATAACATTGTAACCAGATGGAAAGAGCAACAGTTGGATAGTTTGATGAAATGAAGGATGATTCTGAGAAACAAATAGCAAACTCAGCCCACGTGAAAGCGGCGACAAACATGCTTTGCTCATGCTGCCGGACCTTTCTCCAAGCATCAATGATGGGTTTGACATTGACCTCAGCTGAGCTACTTTTGGCCGCCGGATCCGGGACTGCAGTTCCTATGGGATCGTTCTCCAAGCGTCCAGGGGCAGTCTGAGAAGGCAGTCGTGTACCCCACTGGGGTCCTAAATTGAGGTTTTATGAATAAGTTAAAATCTGCTTTTCTTTGCATTCTGCATATGACAGTAATATTCGTATTGCGGTGCTTATATGTTGTAAGTGTAGAAAATACTTGTCAAAATTTATATTTTTAACTTATTACTGTACTCATAGTTATTGTAATGAGATTGTTTCAAGATGGGCATAATAAAAGATCCTAACAAAGACAGAGCAAATTTAATAGTAATGATTTGTTAGAAAATTAAGGTATTTTATTCATTAACAATAACAAATAATCTTTTTAAACTAGAGGTTGAACTCAAACTTAAATTTAATTAAAACCCCTCCAATTTTAACACAGAAACACCTTTATTGACCTAGCCTAGTTTTAACAGATTCTTTTGGGAGAAATATTAAATCTGAAAATAAACCTAATAGCATATTGATGTTTTGTCTAAATTTAAGTTGTAATTTGTAAGAATAATTATGAAACTTTGGTAAATGATGCAGGAAACAAGAAATGGAAAATAATTTCAAAAATGATTGTGTATCACAGAGAAGTAAGGAACAGAGGATACACTCCATGGTACACTAGTGAGGTGTCTAGCACTAGTATTGGTGTCTAAGGAAAAGTCCAACACCTCGCCCTTGCCCTCATGTACTACAGCGCTCATGGTGGAGGAAGACCCTGTGTCTTGTGTGATTGTAATTTCCACACAGTACTCGCCGTTCCAGCTCTTCCTTGTTCGACACAAGTATATTTCCAGCACAACATATTCGAGCTGAAAGCACACGGTTGTCCCATAAGGGTGTTTTCTCTGTACCTTACTTCTCTGTGTTGTTATATAAAGAATTATGTGTATTAAATTAGTTTGTTAATACTATTATAGACCAGCTGTTACCTGCAGCAGGGGGTAGTCTTGTGTGGATGGTAGATAGATCAGGCAGGTTCCACGTTTTAGCGTCTTCACTCCAAACTGCTTCTGCCCTTATGTTTTCTAGGTTACTACGAAAAATAATAAACACACAATTTATTATTTTTTATTATTATATCCATGGCCTGGTTTTTAGTGTTAGTTTTCCAATCTCTTGACATCACCCAATTTCAGATAGAGGTGACTCTTTAACATCTCAAAATATTTACATATCAGTTTGGTGAATAATATTAGCCACATGAACTAAAATCGTAAAACTATATTTTGTTATTGACTTTGGGAAGGCCTGGCGTAGTTGGCACACAAACAAGCGCTGATACTCTAAACATACAAAACATCCTTCAATGAAAAAATATTTACTTACCTGTAGTTACAGTCCTTCTTAAGCGTAGGAAGGACTTTGTCAAGGACTTGCTGGTAAAAGCGACATTCCCTCTGTTGTTTGCGAATTGTCTCCAAGTAGTCCGTTCGCTCATTCTCAAACTCACTTTGTAAGTCTGTTATTTCCCTCTCCAGAGCTCGCAGCTGTTGACAAATTAAAATCTTTTCAAATATAGCTTATTGGTTATGAGTTTAGTTATAAATTATAATCTTGACACTTGGGTGATAGATGACACGTTTTGAAAGACTACAGAAAAAATATTAAAATGATCTGATATTGATCCTGATATCAACATTTTTAAATGTCTTCAGTGACTTTTAAATAACAATTTTAAGGAGTTTAAGGGTGGTATTATGGTTTAAATTCATTAATTTAATGTATAACATGTGCACTTATAATCCTGATACAAGAAACTAATGAAACTATATAAGTTTTCTATGTTTTACAGCATGTTTACGTTTACACACATGTTTTACTACATGTTTTATGATCCAGAGGTGGTGTTGGGCCCAGCAAACATTCAGAGCAAGGCCTCTATTAAGCCTCTACACTGGCAGAGTCGTTTGTATAATGACTTTTGGAATCTAAAAACAGATACAAACAGAGCATACACTCTGTAAACACATTAGGTATTCTGTTTATTCTGTTTATTTGACAGAAATCAGTAGCATACTCATTGGGTCTATTCTAAAACTCACTACAAATTTAGAGATTTTACATGGGAATTGAGAATACCTAGATCAATCTATATTCAATGGTTGCAGTTAACACACACAGCTTGTTAGAGTCTCCAAACATTTCCAAGTAGTCTCACTTTCAAACTCCCTCCTGTGTTGTAATTTCCCTCTTGAACTTAAAAGATGTTGACAGCATTTCCACATGTTGCTGCTAAATTGTACAGTTGAACCTCTATAAGACGAATTTCAAGGGGTACGGGAAAAATTCGTACTATAGAGGTATTCTTAATAAAGAGGGTCGTTTTATCGAGGTTTAATGCTGCTGTTATTCTTCTTATAGAGGTTTCTCCTCGCTCCAAGGTTTCTCCAAACAATGACTGAGGAAGGAGGAGGGATGGGTGGGGGTTTCATGTTGAGACAAGCTTCCGTTTGTTTTGAAAACTACGTACTATGGAGGTTAAGATTATGATAAATTCGTCTTATAGAGGTCACGTTCGTCTTGTAGAGGTTTTGTGCTAAGAATATTCGTTGTATAGAGGTTTATCAGTCATAGCCCATGTCACAAACAAATTCATCTTATGGAGGTTTTTAACTTAATTACTACGTTGTATAGAGGTGTTTTTAGCATTGACCTATATGAAAGTGTCAAGGGGATTAAAAAAAATTTGTCTTATCGAGGAATTCGTTTTATCGAGGTTCGTACAAACGAGGTTCAACTATACATGCAATTTTTGTTCAGCGATTGAATTCCTATGCCACGAACACATCAGGGTAAAAGAAAAGTGAAGACAAGGGAAAGAAAGATGCGTGCCGAATGGATATTAAAGCTTTGTTAAGATCAGCTTATTTATCAATTATTATTTTAATAGCTCCGCCAAACAACGTCGCCTCGTTGCAAGTGACCAATGTTATTTTCAGAAACCACAAACATGTTCTGGCCGCACCTATGCCGACACAGTCAGTTTCCCGTTAATTCAATCACTTGTACCAACCTATTGTATTTTTAAAAGCCAAATAAGTTATCCCACGCAGTAGAGAATGTCATTTGTATCGTTATTCTTCAAAAATCTCAATTGCCCAAAATATGTCGTTTCCAACGTTTTCTGGTGGAGACATTAATTTATCTGCCCGAAGGACAGCTGGGTTCTGTTTCGAACCATGAGAAAGCTATGTCTTTCCATGGCATCAAAACAGCATCCTTTTGGTTGGACGAGAATCTTAACCACACAGTTGCTCAGCTATAAAAGGGTTTAGTAAAGCCACGTACCTTCATCTTGTGTTTGCGGATGGCTGTTTTCATCTCCTCCTGAATGTCATCGTAGACTCCCAACATCAGTCCGCTCTTGTCCTCGTCCTCTACTCGGGCCAACACTGTCGCCAGCGCCTGCAGTCTACGCTCAGCGAGCCTCTTCTTGCGCAGACGCTTCTCCTTCAACTCCTTGTCATTGGCTCTCTCCCCTCCGACCATGCTGGCCTGCAGTTTCTGTAGTCTGGAAAATTTATATAGGTATCATTCATTTTTTAAGGATGGTTTTTGTATGAGAGTCTGAACATTTCTGATCGGTTTGATTGGATAAGGAGATATTATACTACTTATTTGGTCAGTTAATGTTAAAAAGAAAACATTTAAAATAGTAGTATATAAACGCTTTACATGAGGAAAACTAACTAATTACCATATTTTAAGTGTGTAATATCTTAAGGGCCTAGGTTTTTAGGATTTTTTAGAGGATAGCAGGCTTACCTGAAAGGGAAAGACTACTGGCACAGGAAACAAAAACTTTACACTATATACACAAAACATTATCATATTTCACTGTCACTGACACCATTTTCAACTAAGGAGGAGAGAGTTTTCTTTATGTCCTTATGATTTTTGGACTCTCCCTTAGTTTAAAACGCTGTCAGTGACAGTGAAATATTCTAATGTTTTGTGTATATAGTGTGAAAATAGTTAATATTATAACATGTTTAGCCTCTGGATCATGTAATTTACTAATAAAAAGGTTAAATACCTGTAGTACTTGTCAGTGATCCTGGAATTTAGGTCAGCGACCCAGGTTTCGAACCTAAAGGTTATATTTTCAAGCTGATACCAAGTTGGGTGTTTGGAATGCGTTTTCAACTTGGTATCACTCATTGTTGTGGTTTGCCCCTGAGCTGGTAAGACAAATATTAATAGTGGTTTATTTACCTTGTATTTTCGTCACAGCTCAAAATTGTTGTATAGAAGCTACAACCATGGTTTCAACGCCGTTTGCGTCATGGTCACGTAGGACATGTCGAGAATCAAAGCATAGTTGTTGTTGTCATAGTCGGTCGCTTGGACGTCGTCAAAAACACATAAACACAAACACGAACACATACGGACATATTAACACTTAAAAATGTTCTCGGGGACGAAATACAGGCCTGTGTTTATTTAACTGTACCGTCGCGGGAGCCGGCTGGAGAACACTTAGCATGGTTGCTGTAGCTTCTATACAACAATTTTGAGCTGTGACGAAAATACAAGGTAAATAAACCACTATTAAAACTTGGTATCAGCTTGAAAATAAACTTTTGGTTCGAAACCTGGGTCGCTGACCTAAATTCCAGGATCACTGACAAGTACTACAGGTATTTAACCTTTTTATTAATTAATATTAATAGGTACGGTAGCATTACGGCAGTTAAGTTAACAAATTATAAATTGTAACAAAAATAGTCACTTACCTTTTCAATATTTCTTGTTGTGCAGCATTTAATGTTGCAGTCTCACTGAAAATAGCGAAATTCATCAATAATAGAACTTGGTATAATAGTCCAGACATATTTATTTGTAATACTAGATGACAAAATGCTGGACACCCCGAGATAGTAGAGGAATATTGTTTGATACAATATTTTTACAGTTAATTAAACTTGTTTCTAAATCCAAATAAATATTACTGTAAAGACAAGATAATGGTGTAATTATCTTTTGTTACTTTCTATATTTAAACTTTGGCACTAAACATACTTTTTCAATAACCATCCTCATGGATCAGCTAAACAGTTTCAGGCAACTGTACTGTACCAAACATAATTATATACTTTTAAACTACTTACCCTTTGGTGTTTAAACCAAATAACATAGGTAGCACACTGTAAAATGTATGTCCAGCAAAGCCAATTTTCTTCGGAGGTTTATTTTATATTTTAGGCCTATACTTAAACCCGCGAGAATCCTTGTACTACTAAAACTAGGCGAATCCTTGTAGAGTACAAACTTACCTATTCAGTACCTCCTCCACTATCTTCTGGGTTGGTGTTTTTGGTAGCATATGCTGTTTATTCTGAGACTGAAAAAATATAATAACTTTTTAATCTGTTATATACATCATCAAATCAATAGTTTAATCTAAAGGTTTTAATTGAATAAAGAATTTCCACTTTGCCAGGGGACACTAAAACTATAATAAGGATAAAATTAGTGGAATACCTGAAAATAGTTTTCATAAAGAATACACTGATATCAACTTTCATAAGATTACACCGTTTATTTTAAGTGAATCTCATTTACCAGGTTCTGCCTTATAAACTCTTCATGTACTTCACGCCTGATTGAAACAGGGACTCAAACCCTCAATATGTAGTACTGTCTCCCGGCAGGAGAGACAAGGCAATGCATGTATACTGCTTGGCCATAGATCAACCCTAATAACACTATAACACTAGCAACGCTGGCCGACCAAAAGTACAAGCATCAGACCAGTCAAAGAAGGCAATTTGCAGATCGGATGGAAATGCTCTACTATTCTTGAAGTGTTATCGTCCATTAGTTGTGATGAGCGCAAGTCTCATGTAGCTGGCGATTCGGAAGTAATGTCAATGTTTGTAGCACAATGATATTTTCCCCCATAATCCAGTTAACCTTGAAAACCCACTCCGAGCATATTAAGTGCCTTTTTTGGTTTTTTGGTGGTCGGACTAAAATTTACTCTCATACTGCAGTACATGTCGTGCTCTGATTTAGTGGTTTTTTTTTTGGTTTTTTTTATTTGCACATGTAGAAGAAGTGGGAGTTTATATGTTAGTCTTGAGTTCGATATAATAGCTGTTGGCGCTCAAAGGTTTACCCAATATAAAGATATATAACTATTGCTGCTCTTCTATAGTCCGTTCAGAAAATTTTGGCAGTTTGAGGGGAAGTTCCCCACTACTTTTTTGCTTAATATATATATGTTGCAGCTAATTGAAGTTTTGGAAAACCTTGTGAGCTGTTGAGCTATTGTTTAAAGGTGGGATCAAGAGGAGGGGATAGATTTTTCCCTCTAAAACCATCTAAATTTTGTAAACGGCGTATGGTATTGTAATCAAAAAGTAAATTGCTTCCTGTAAAATTCACAACAAAATAAGAGAAATACACTAGCAAACTCAAATACAACCATTCATACTTCAGAATAATCACAAGGTCATACCTGACAGTTTATCCGGGCCAAGTCTCTCTCGTATTGCTCTTTGAGAGTTTGAAGATCGTTCTGCACTTGAGTCTTGGACAGCTGCATTGCCTCATATTGTTCTCTCAAAGAGGCCATCTCCTTCTCATACTCTGACTTGACTTTTTCCTTTTCTGCTTTCACAACCTCATCTTCTATGGCTAAAAGATCAAATTGTCACTTTTTCAATTGCAAAGATCATTTTTAAGAGATATACAGGCTTGCTACACTTGACCTAATACTGTGATGAAATTTGTGACGCAATTTTTAGAAAATAATTTATCAACAGCTTTGCCGCTGAAAGAAATCAACACTTCTTTTAAGATAGTTGAATTTCATCAAAAGTTTCTTTTAAATCTAGGAAAGTTCTTAATGTCCAACAAAACAGAATTAGGTGGAGCAAATAATCTACTAAAGATTATACCTGTCTAATTCTGAGCAAAAGGTTTTTATGACCATTTGATATTAGTTAAATGGCTAGAGTTAGGTCCTATCCTGTAAATCAGTACCTATGTAGATCACGGGTGGCGTCGTCCTGTAATCCAGCTACTTGGAGGTCACGGATTGTGGATATTTATAGGCATGCACTGTGGATGGGATACTCCCTGGTGTGGATTAACGTCCGCACTAGTGAGTACTACTACTATCCGCAGTACTATCCTGATAATTAGACCAATTCGTATATACCAAGGAAAAATGTGGTTCGGATTCCACTATAAACTGTAGGTCCCTTTAGTTGCCATTAGCTGTTTGGGCTATTAATTAACAGCTGTGTCTAAGGAATGTCGGCCTTAGTCACTAACAAGACTACAAGATCGCGCCACTCATCCTACACTCATCTCCATTCATACTTGGCTTAAAATACCTACATAGTATGGTCGCCATTTCATAAGAAAGTAAAGAAAGTAAAGAAAGATCTACTGAGGACAGTTTTTTTCAAATAAATAATTTATATTATTATTATTGTAAACATTTTAAAAACAGTGTTATTAACCTAGCAGTTTGTAACACCAAACAATATCTAATCCTAACAAAAAGCCTCTCTAATCCTCATACTACTTAGGGCTGAATTAGGCCTATTCTATAAGAACTGACCAGAAGATCCAACAAAGGCGTTCTTCTCCAGCAGATTCCTCAGTTTGTAAATCTCCTCCTGGTACTCTCGCAACATGGTGTCCTTGGGGTCCTCGTTGATGTGGGGTTTGTTGGTGATGTTCTTGGCTCGGTTGGCATATCTCAGTGTAGATAAGGTCTCGTCATAGTTGTTATCCGCAGGAGACAAACAAGCCACCATCAATGTCTTGGTGTTTCCTCCCAACGAGTCCTGAAAAATGAAGTGTCACTGACTTTGGATACTGAGACGTACATCCTACCTTTGATTATGATGGGGGGAGGGGCGCTCATGTCTCATGTTAGAACAAAGTTGTTAGTAGTCAGTTTATGACCATAAATATATGGTCTTCGGTAGTATAGTGGTCAGTATCCCCGCCTGTCACGCGGGAGACCCGGGTTCGATTCCCGGCCGGAGAGCCAGTTGTGACAGTTTTGTTGATAATAAATACTTGTTCTGAATGATCAATGGCCATGATCATTATGAGATCAAATGGGAATTTAGGAGCTCCTTCCCATGAGAACGCAACATTATTTACTTTGCTGTCATGACTTTGTGTCAGGGTTTTGAAGGCATTAAATAAATCCCATTAGCTGAAATATTAACCGGAAATATGAATCCTATCCTCGGAATTGTGGATGTCAATTACCTAATCCTAGATTTTTTTCCGGACGTTAGGCATGAGTTCAGGATTGTTTTTCACATTACTTCAGCCTAGACTTAGCGGTTGTGGCATTATCAGTATTATCACTTAGATAAAAATCCATTGGTAATTTGGCGGTATTTGAACCCGGGACCTCAGGGACCGAAGTCCCGCGCTCTAATCACTAGACCAGCTCGATCCCCGTCCAAATCCCAGTTTTGGGTTGAATACGCCAACTGTTTCACAAAACAAAACTGAATGAACAACTTTACTGTAGATACTGCAGCATCCTTTTCAAGCCATATAAACTATCATAGAATCAGTATCGAAATCTTATTGAGAAATTATAGAATTTTGGCAATACGGTAGTGCATTATGTGAGTGGCTCGTTTAGCTGTGTATTTTTATTAATTAAATTATTTTTTTACCTTACAATATCCTGTTTAGTGTTGGTAGATAACTACATGTTTCGTGGCGACTGCCACATCCTCAGGTTATCCTCTTCTCAGATTCGTCATCAATTTAAAACATAAACATAAAACATAAAAACAAACGTAAAAAAACACATTACATTTATTTTGGTACCGTCACGGTGCGTGCACGTGTTTGGTCGGGCCGGCGGTGACTGGCATTGCAGTGTCCAGCCGACAACGGCTACGACCCCACACTGCTCGACAAAATACTTCAGAAAGAAAAATATACGTCCAAATGCAAATAGGGAAAAAGGGTATATTACTCTCAGTTACGATAACCATCAATTAATTATGCTACAAATTTTCAAACATTTTGAAGAAAAGAAATTACAAAATTTCTTACAAGACCACAAACAAACTGGAAAGCATTTTGAACAAAAAGCCACAAATAAAAAATAAATACGAAACATGCGGGGTGTATGAAATAGCCTGCAATGACTGCACAAAATTTTACATTGGACAAACTAGGAGGTCTTTCAAAACACGGTTCAATGAACACCTGCCTATAAAAACAAAGTAACTCAAACTTCAAATTATGCTGAACATTTAATTAACACCAACCATAATTATTCTACAATAGATGAAAACTTACAATTTCTCCATAGAAGCAACAACAGAAGCAGAATAACAGCATTAGAAAATTTCGAAATTTACAAAGCAGCAAAATCCGTCGGCAAGAACCTTTTAAATGACAAATTAAATACCCAGGCCAACGCATTGTTTGACACAATAATTAGAGTAAACCAGGAATCTGCTGATCGACACGTCACGTGACCCTGAACTGGACACTGCAATGCCAGTCGCCGCCGGCCCGACCAAACGCGTGCACGCACCGTGACGGTACCAAAATAAATGTAATGTGTTTTTTTACGTGTGTTCTGTGTTTTATGTTTTAAATTGATGACGAATCTAAGAAGAGGATAACCTGAGGATGTGGCAGTCGCCACGAAACATGTAGTTATCTACCAACACTAAACAGGATATTGTAAGGTAACAAAATAATTTAATTAATATAAAGCAATATCCAGAAGTTGGACAATGAATTCTGGTGTATTTTTAATTGGCTACAAATAATCTTAGTCCAGGCAAACTAAACAAACTTACATAGGGACCGTTAAAAAAATTGCAAGAAAACGTTTTATGGTTTTATTTTGTAGAGTTGGGTTTGCAGAATGACATACTAAAAGTTGCCAAAAATCGGTGCACGAGAAAACCACTAAAATCACAATTTAAAATGGCGGCTTTTTTCAACATTGGACAAATTAAAAAAACATATTTCACATGCATTTGTTATGCACATTTTTCGAGATATTGACTTGGGACCACCGCCTGTATTTATTGAGTGGTTAGTACTTCATTTTGATAGGGAACATGTTTTTGGCCGCCATCTTGGATCCGCCATATTGGACATAGATAATTTTTTTTCAATGTAATGATAGTGTTGTGACACATCATTACCAACTACATTTTTACACTGATTTCAATGCCGAAATCCGTTTTTAAATATCTTTATTCATTTAGAAGATATATACAAAAGAAAACTCTGCACCATACATTTCTTATGGACGTTTCGTAGTTTGATATATTTTTTTAAATTATTTTTCTTATATCTCCAGTTCTTATTAACGCTTGTAGTTCGTTCTAGGCTTAAAATATTCAGTAATGTAAGGGCTTTCATTTGAGCTCTTGATCATTAAAATCAGACGAGTTAAAGACCAGCTACAAACCTCAGAACAATATTAAATTTAACTTTTTATAAATATATTTTTATTAAAAGATTTATAACTCGGGTCGTTAATACGTCACCAAGTTCTTTCTGGTCTCAAATTACTCAGTGAATGTTTAGCTTTGATTTTATTAATCACTAAACAAAATCTGACAATTTTAAAATGAGTCATGGTTCTTAATTTAACATTAAAATTTATTTATTTTGAAATTTGTCTTTAGTTAAGGACATATATCCCAAACCCTAATAACTCCCGGAACGTAATCCATAGCTAAAATAAAAGTCAATAATTTGGCGAATTATTTAAGACTATAAAGAGTTTTGGGAGTTATTTAGAATTGGGGATATATGTCTTTAACTAAAGACAAATTTCAAAATAAATACACTTTAATGTTAAATTATGGCCCATGACTCATTTTAAAATTGTCAGATTTTGTTTAATGATCAATAAAATTAAAGCCAAACATTTACTGAGTAATTTGAGACCAGAAAGAACTCGGTGACGTATTAACAACCCGAGTTATAAATCTTTTAATAAAAATATATTTATAAAAAGTTAAATTTAATATTGTTCTGAGGTTTGTAGCTGGTCTTTAACTCGTCTGATTTTAATGATCAAGAGCTCAAATGAAAGCCCTTACATTACTGAATATTTTAAGCCTAGAACGAACTACAAGCGTTAATAAGAACTGGAGATATAAGAAAAATAATTTAAAAAAATATATCAAACTACGAAACGTCCATAAGAAATGTATGGTGCAGAGTTTTCTTTTGTATATATCTTCTAAATGAATAAAGATATTTAAAAACGGATTTCGGCATTGAAATCAGTGTAAAAATGTAGTTGGTAATGATGTGTCACAACACTATCATTACATTGAAAAAAAATTATCTATGTCCAATATGGCGGATCCAAGATGGCGGCCAAAAACATGTTCCCTATCAAAATGAAGTACTAACCACTCAATAAATACAGGCGGTGGTCCCAAGTCAATATCTCGAAAAATGTGCATAACAAATACATGTGAAATATGTTTTTTTAATTTGTCCAATGTTGAAAAAAGCCGCCATTTTAAATTGTGATTTTAGTGGTTTTCTCGTGCACCGATTTTTGGCAACTTTTAGTATGTCATTCTGCAAACCCAACTCTACAAAATAAAACCATAAAACGTTTTCTTGCAATTTTTTTAAGGTCATATCCTATATTTACCCGACTATCTATATAGACAGGATGTCTTTCTACAATCGCATCCAAAAGTTGTGGTGTTAACAAAGTTGGAGTAGCGAACAAATGAGCACAATTAAAAATTTGGCATGAAAAACTGAAAATCGTACATAGCTTATATGATAACAGCAGAGGCTATTTTGTGACAAAATTTAACTATGCTGACTTCAAATTCAAACTAACTAGAACTGTGTATGCTTTATTAGATGTTAACTTTACGGCAGAGTATTCATCACTTTTAAAGTTTATAGTTTGTATATATGCTGTAGTTCGCAGTTTGCAGTTTGTAGGCTGTAGAAAAACAGCGAACTTTTAAACACATAAAACAGAGGACTAAAGTCACTGCATGTTAAAAGAGAGAAGTAAATTTTGGTGTAAAGCTAGTTCATAGACCAGCTGGTCTGGACATGAGGTTCTTAGTTCAATCCAGAAATCAATCTTAAGGTTTTTATTTGCATTAAAACTAAGCTCCAGTTGGTAAAGATTAATTATTAACCGATGTCTGAAACTAAGGAAGTGAGGACTTGTCATTTATTGATTGTTACTTGAACTAATGACTTTAGTTCACTTCAGAATACATTAACTGATTGTTGACCTTATTGCTTACCATCAGTGGTATTGCTTGACCTAGACTGTAGGGTGGGCTGAATCATTTTTATAAATAAATAAATAAAAATATCTTTATTAAGCGTTTCTCTGGTACACCAGCTTTTCAAAACAACTTTCGTCACTATGCTAAATGTTGGTGTAGAGGGATTTATTTAAAAATTAATGTATTTCACAGTTTTGTTGAATATACAAGGGCTGTTCCGGGAGTAAACTACTTTTCTACATAGAGCTGCCAAACAAATTGGGATAATTATCGGTGGATGAGCTATGAGATTCCTAAGTTAAAGAATTTGGCCACCTGTGTACTCAGCCACCCAGTGAAACAAGATTGGAGGTCTTTGCCGTTATTCAAAAATCTGTGCTGCTAACAACGACTTCTTTTTGGTAAACAAATAAGTGAAAGTCAATTGGAGCCAGGTATATAGATTGTAGGGTGGGTGGTTGAGGGAAAATCTCCCATTGAACAATTAAAGTAGACTATGTATGAGACGATTTGACGTGTGAGATTGGGCATTGTCATACAAAAACAAAATTTGTGACTTCAACTTAAGTTCTACCATTTCGGGACAGAACTTTAATTTATTACTTTTTCTGTACACTTCACACCATTGACGATAAATTTCTGTGTCCTACAGTCCTAATCCCACGACTTGCAGGATTTACAGTTGTAGCACACTTTTTAGAAATAATGTACAGAATATTGTGATAACGGGTAGCATAACGCTGTGACAACTGGACAGTCATTGAATAGGTAAAGTACGCCACCAGTGCCAACTATTGGCCTATTGGTCAGCCGTAAACGTTCCTTACTATCTGAATATCCCTTGTATTAAACTACATATAAACTTAAGCTCAAATTTAAATCAAACTTCATGATATTATTCAGACTCAAAATATAGGTAGACGTCTACTAGGCTTATATGGCCACCACTTTTGATTATCATCAAGGGCAGCATATTCACTTGTGTCTATTCACTATTCACAATTCACCTGAAGCATGCGTGTCAGCTTTGAGTCTCTGTAGGGTATGTGTTTAGCCTTGCCGTCCACTAGGGCAGAGATGACATTGCCAAGTGCTGACAGGGACAGGTTGATCTTGGTTGCTTCCTTCAGTCTGTCACCGGTGGCACCTGCAATCAATATCAACTGATAAACTTGGAAACTAAAAGATTACGTGCAATTCATAGATTGATTGTATAGATCACAGTCCAATCATTTGTCTTGACATTTTTTGTGTAATTTAGGGGAAACAATGACTTGTATTTAGAATTTTTTTATGAATTTTTCCAGACAAAAATACTGATGTTTTTGCCAGAACCTTTAAAATACTTTATAATTTAGGTATTATCACTTCAATTTGGCATTTTTAATATTAAATAATTTCTTGAAATAACATTCTATAACAAAATAGTTTCAAAACTGATGTTTTGATAGATGTAGAAAAAATGTTTAAAATACCTCTTAGGTCTTGAGTGGATTTCTTTCTAAGGTAACACCAGAACATTAGAATACACCATATAGGATCTTTCTAAAACAGTGAGAGTTTCAACTTAGCTACTGAATTACCACTGTAAAGTAGGATCAAAACTTTTAGCCAATAGCTTGAAAACTGATACAACAATTTTACCTCATGAAACTCTAACTTCTGCGCCAGAGGCCCAAAATTATTAAAATACCTGTCTTGGCCTGCCGCTCGCTCCCCGCCAAGTCAACCAGACTCAGTTTTCCGCGCCGGATAGGACTAACTTCCAAACACTCGCTCAACGGCATCATCTCTACAGATATGCTGAATATAGAGTGGCTGCGGGAACTGTCGGCGTTCATGAGAGTCGCTCCTGTGGAACGATTCCTCCAACCGCGATCCATCAGCTCTTGACAGTCGCTCACACTCGCCACAGTATGATGGGATAGCTCTGAGATGAAACAGAAATCAACATTGTATTTGAAGAAATTTAGGAGTTATTTAAGGTACTTACCTTATTTTAATCACATAATTTCAAAATTTATATTTTTGTTGAGTTCTAAACTGTTATCTATTGTTTTAAAATACTCAATAGAGATATAATGCTGTTACAGTCCTTCTATCCTTTAAATGGGACCTTGATTTAAATGAGATCTAGTCTGTTCATCTCTAACCGCCAATTGCATTTAGCTAAAGCCAGTATTTCCTAGGCGCGGAAGCGGAGCACGGAGAGAGGAACGCAGAGAGCGGACTCTTCCTGTCTTAGGTAATTTAATGTTACTGTTTTCCTAGAAGCGGAGTGGAACACCATGTTAATCGCTTCACCGCTCTCCGCCCTCCTCTTCCGTGTCTAGGAAAACCCGGCTAAAGGGATATTGTTGGGACGGCAATTCGGAGCCCAAATGTTTAAGTCTATCACCCACCTATTTGGGAAATAATGAAATAAACATGTGTTTTCTAGTGTGCAAATTTCTCTGTGTGTAAAATGTCCTGCACTTAAAGTCATTCAAACAACACCACAGTAATGTTTATGTTACAACCCAAAATTAACAACTAAAATCAATGGATGTTCACCTCTGATAGGTATCTAAATAACAATGAAAAGAATTAATATATCCTGAAAAATAAAATATCGAGCTGAACAGCGATGTAGCTTAGCAAAAAGAACCTTTTAATACTCCCTCTGAAAAGCGATGAGAGACTTACTTTTCCCCTTTCAAATTGGGGACATAAAACTACTTTAAAAGTGCTATTGAAAATTTATCTTTAAAATCAAACATTTTTTTTAAATTTCACCAGTAACCCATATAATTTACCATTTAGAGCAGGGTTGCCACCTTAGGTCAGGAAAAAATTGGGACATTGCCCTCCCTCCCTCCCGGATTAACATAGGCTTAAACACGGGCATAAGGAACTAAAATCGGGACTGTCCTGGCAGAATCGGGACGGGTGGCAACCCTGATTTAGAGGTACATGTACAACAGCAAAATACAAGCAACAAATTAAAACTAGGCCTATATTTATATTTACCATTGACGTAAACGCCTCGATCAAAGTTCTCTTTTAACTCCAGTCTCTTCCTAGTATCATTTCCTAGAAGGTCTCTGATCTCTTCGTTGTAAATTTCCAGATACGACGCCAGCACCAGGTACTTGACGTTTTCCGTGAGAGACATCGACTCAAAGAGGTGTTCGAAGGCTCGGGGGATGATGCCCCTCTGGGAGGGTGGGTCCTCCACCCCCTGCATGGAGAAGCTTTTGCCACACCCTGTTTGTCCATAGGCGAACACGGTGCTGTTGTATCCTTCCAGGACACCCTGGAACAGTTAACTTTTTCACAAGAGTATCAAATCAAATACTGCATACAGCAGTGGATATGCAATTAATTAGTTATTTACAAAAGTGAGTTAGACACATTCGAATGAGTTTGGGTGTTGTTAAGTGTTAATAAAACTATCAACTTGAGATATATCCCAGCCTTTTCTAATACAAGTCTGCACTGGTCGGCCTATTAGAGGAGGCCATGCATGAATAGTTCAGAATCTACATGAATAAGGGATCAGAGGGTGTGTTCAATTTAGTTGTTGTTTTGACCAAACTCCAAACGCTTGTAGATTCTATGAACCAAGAAGAGCTGACATTCAGTATATAAATTTTATAGGTACTGGTGTAGCATTTCTGTTTTCTAACATAGTTTGACATAATGGTACAAATTTGACCAAAATATATAGGTACCTAGTTCACCAGATCACACAGGAAAACCTGCTTTTCAACCTCGCTCATTTCCTGACCTCGGCTTCACCTCGCTCCTGGAACTCTTGACATATACTATTACCTAACTTTACTATCAAGGAAGATTCATTCCCCAAGATTCAGAATGGATTTAAAGTTATGAGTAATTTTGAACAAAAAAATCAATTTTACATGCTGACTATTGAAAAATGTTCTTTCTTTAACCTATTGAATTAGAAAATCGAGAAATACAAATACGGTCTGTACTAAAATGCCAACCTCAACTAGTGGGTAAGCTATCTCATTATAAATCTGCTCCGTTGTGGAGTTAATGTAGTAGACTCCATCGAAGGTGAAGGTCTTCGGAGGAGCCGAGCTGTCGTTGGGGTTGATGAGGGAGCAAGTGCAGCGTTCTGAGTCCATCAACACCACGTTCTGAGAGAAACATCAGCATTAAGGATAGAAATTATGAAATAATATTTGTAGGTAACAAAAATAATTAACGGTAAGTTATCAGCAATCTGACACATACTTTCTCCCATTAGATTGTCATCAACACTTACCATGGGCAAGCGGTGAGAATAACTATGATAAATAAGGCCAATTATATGGGAAAAATAGGAAAGGTTGCAATACCGGTAAAGTTTTTACAGCATTGGGGGATGTGCCATTTAGAGTAAAAAAGTTTTGATTCGTTTAAAACTAGAGTAGATTTTGCTATTCAACGTTGTTTAATATATGAAATGAAACTAACAAACAGTTTATACCAAACCTACATAACAGTAACAATTAATTAGAAATTCAAGTTCGAGGTTATGTTCATTGGCGGTAAACATCACACCCCTAGTACAGAATAAATAAACACTATGGACCATGGTGTTTATTTCATTATTTTGTTCTATGGTACTAGCTAAAAACACAGTAAAAACTATCTTATGCACATTTATATTCGGTATTCACTGTATTGTTACTGTTTGTTAAAGTTAAACAGTAAACAGTGTAAAATAAATAACAGCTGATCAATAATGAAAAAAAACATAAACAAAAACAAACACTAGCGGTCGCTGTGGGCACATGGAGAACTGATCGAGTCGAGAGCAATAAAAAAAATCAGCTGATTGTTTTTTTTCCGCTTGCTCTTTAAGTAGGGCTAGGGAATGTTTAATTCATTCATTGATTTGCAATCATCTGTTTGGAGTACCTATCCTATATCTTTGCCTAATTTCTGTACGAAGTGGTGAAAAGAACATTTTTGAAGAAAACATTACAAAACGTATTTTAGTCACACCACTGAATATAGGTGTGATTCAGGGGGTTCAAGGCGTAATCTACGCGACTTATTAGGTTACAGGCCAAGGGTAAGTGTTCACGCAAACTTCACACGCGAACCCCCTTGACCTTGTAGATCTGATAACAGCTGGCCAGTGGTGGAACTAGCATTACGTCACAGGATCGATGACGTCATGGGATCGATCCTGACTCACGCTGGCCCAATTACATCGCGAACACCATCGATCATCGACAGTTCCTAGAAGCACTATTGTCGCTCACACAACAAGTTAGTGACTGGAGTCACTTTAGGGAAGCATCCTTTGTGTGGGTTCGATCACTCCTCGAAAGAAACTTATCCTTTATGGTTGATCAAGACGCAAAGTTTTGTTACAATTTGGTTATTTGTAAAAGCCTAACCAGTAGGAAAGTATCACTTATTTGAAGTCTTAGAAACACTAAGGAATTTCTAAATTACTTTTGGACTTACTTTGCACTTGAGCTGCATTTCCCGCGTGTTCATTGGGCGACATCTTACGATGACTTTCACTGTCTCTGCCATCCTGCTCCTGTAACAAAAAGTTGCTAAAATATAATTCTATAAATAGTGTAGAGCTTTTTTTGTTCATATATTACACAGGCTAAGGGTCTTATCGAGCTCTCGTCGTGGCCAAGCGAGCTAGTTAAAATATGACAAACATCATGTTCTTTAATTAGGTACTTCTTCCGCTGTGGCGCTGTGTAGTCGACTTCGACCACTGTTGTGCGTTTGTTTTTGTAGCTGAAAGAATTGAGGGAAAGTTGACGCTCCCGCCAGTATCAATTGCGTTGTACTCTTTCAGAAATCTCTGTTTAAAATGCCCCTCGAAATTCGTAATCTGTAGCCTAGATTTGCTGTGACGGTGATTAATGAAATTTTCAACAGTTATATTCCTTTGGTCGTTGATTGCCAAGAGTTCTGGAGAGATCTGCCAGGAGTTCGGAAAAACTCCTTTCCGAAACGTAGTGTAGTCAAAACACTTAGCGTAGGGAAAAAACCTCAAATTAAAATAACCATCCTTCGCAATGATGAACTTTTAAACACAGGAAGACTGTTTCGAAACGTTCAAATACAGACTCTATCCAACCGTGACAGTTCACGAATCATCCCACTACAATTTGTTGTGGCGCAACAAAATGACACTGTAAACCACTTAACAAATTTAAACGAGAACCGAATGACGTCATATCGGTCGATGACCAAATCATATGATTACCAACCGTTTACATTGTTGTGGCTGTGTTATTTTGCACTCACATTGATAGGTCGTAGATCGATGTCAAAACAATTCCACCAAAGGTCAAAGTGCTTCAGCGGTTAAGTACTTCCGTTTGTGACCATCCCCAATCAGTTTCTACGCAACCGTTCTTATAAGTCAATACAAGGTATATATAATTCAAAAGAGAAAATACAGGTCTTGTTTCTCACGATATATTTATGAGGTACGGCTATATAGGGGGTTTACCTTGATTTTCGTTTGGCTAGGAATTTTATATAGTATACATTTTTTATAGGTTCTTGTAGGAGTATTTTGATTGTTGAAATCAGGAGTGAAGCGTTATGTAGGTCACTGTACGTAGACCGATTCATATCTCCGTTAACAAACTGTGTTTTTGACATTTAAAAAAATATTTAAGTTTTTAACCTTTAGTGGAAATGCCTAATTTACATCATCGTGTAGAGCTTAAATAAACAATTTCATACATTGTATCATTTTTGTAAATTTTAAGGATAAGATCTAAAAAACTATACATTTAAAACTTTCATGTTATTCTTATGGGGTAAAACTTCTGTAGTTTTATTTTCATTAAATTTGGCAAATTTGTTTATTTTATCCTATTAACAATTGACCAAACCCCCTTTTTCCCATTCCCCGCAACGACAAACTTAAATACTTGTTAAAACTAATAAAAAAAATGTTAATGTGACTTGTTTCTGGAAATATTTAAGTAAAAATCTATTCGAAAACGCAAATTAGCTTAGTCTGCAGATTTGCTGCGTTGGGGGTATCATAGTTTTGTATCAGACTAAGATAACCTATTTCTTTATCAAAAACGTTTATAAAAGCCCATTACATCGTTTCTAAAACATGATTCAACCCTAGTTAATGACTGGAACGTTCATTCACTGGTTATACCATACCCAAAGTTGTGATCAGTAAATGCTCTTTAAATAACACGGTTGTTTAGGATTTTGATCTTAAGGCGAGTACGCGGGTTGTGCCAACATGTTTACTTGATTCACAGAAGTATATTGCAGTCACAGAAAACGTACTAAGTACGTTTTCTGTGATTGCAGTGCCCATCGCCAATCAAAGAACCATTTATGTTTGCGAGACACTATTTTGTTCATGTTACGACCATTAATTTTGAACCAGTGATAGTGTAGATGCTCCAAAGTTACTTTTTAATACTGTTTTTGATAGGCTAGGCAAAACAATAGGCTTAATATAATGTTTTAAAACTAAACGTTCATTCACTGGTGCTCTTGTCCTTTTACGACCAAAAACTAAGAACAATAATGTTCATAGTCATATTAATGCCATAGTGGTATTAAAACTGATATAAATTGATGTAAACGCAATTCCTTTTTAAAACTAGCATACACAAAGATATAAAGATTTTTAACAAGTGAGATGGAGGTCAAATTTTACACACTGGTCAAGGACTATCGACTTCGAGATTGGAGCTGGACATGTTTATGCTAAATAGTAGTTAAAATATACTCCGGATAAAAATCCGTAATGTATATATATTTTTTCTGAATTAAGTAGTGTTATGTTTTCTATTAGTTCTATCGTTTCTTTATTATCAAACCTACATTGTCAAATTACCAATTTTTACCATCATTCTTTACTAATTTTATACAGTAGAACCTTGATAACAAGACTCTCAAGGGGATTATTAAATAAGACTTGTTATCAAGGTTGACTCCTTATTGAGGTTTGCAATAACATGTGGTAAGGGGTAAAATGAATTCAAGGGGATTTGAAAATGACACTTGTTATCAAGGGTGACTTGTTATCGAGGGTCTTCTTATCGAGGTTCCACTGTACCATTATATTTTAAAAAATTATAAAGATACAGAGCTAAAGAACAAAGTTACCATTCACGAAAACTATTTAAAATAATTATTTGGCGATGCGATAAAGGAAGAAAATCATTAATTTGTATCAATGGTTGTAAGAAATGTTTGAGCGGTTGTCATTTTTGACTCAGTTGTGCCTTTTAGCTCAAATTTGCGGCATTAGATTTTTCTTATAAATACCTTTATTTAAAGCATGCCAACATATGCCCACATTTACAATTTGTCACTTAGCCTACTCTACTCCTCGTGTGGGCAGGAGTAAGTGAGATAAAAGGCACTTACTCCCTTTTGAGATAAAAACCCTCAGTTCCTTAAATATAGTGGTTCTTGACTTTTGAGTATCACAGGTCACATACTTATACCGTTTTATTTACAATAGTTGAAAATTACTAAACCGTTCCGGAACTTTTCACATACATTGTATAAAGTTATAATTATTAGTAATAACAGTTAAAAATAAAATAGTGTTTTTTAAAATCGTATTGAAGAAACACTTTACCATATAAATTAATTTTACTTCACTTATTTAAACGGCGAATTGTTAAAAATTAATTCAAACTAATTCCGAATAAACACACACGTCAAATAATGGACTCAAACCACAATCTAATCAAAGGGGATGAAGACGATATTCAAGGGTAGCATTGTGCGGATGATAAAGCGATCCAGGTGTAATTACAGTTCAAGGTCACACAACAATGGTTTGAAGGTCAAACCAGTGTCATTGGTCAACCGCTGCTTGGCAACGTGTATAGATTGACACGAACACGCACACCGCAAACACTAATGCATCAGCTGATCGCATCAACACGAACACGTGAACGTGTGGGAAGTTAATTTTGGCGTAAACGTAAACGACATTCCTGGAAACATCATTTGTTGATAGGTTACAGGTTGTGTTGTATGTCATGTTTTAATAGAGTGGTGGGTAGAGAGGAGAACGTGTATTTACTTGATTTTATAGGAAATCCCGTTTTTCGTTTAGAACCAAATCTTTGACTTTGCAGCGGTCCGTGAAAGGAAGACACCGGTATATGTGGATAAGATTGTAGGACAGTCCAAATTCTGCACCAATAAGGGGCTCAGCAGCAGATAAAGCGGATCAATTTAGGCGTTTTTGGTAAACAAGGCAACCTAGCATGATTTATGTAAATAAACGGTATCAGCAAACCGACTGATACTTTCCCCATTGGATTGACAACAACTCCTATGATGTAGTGGGTGTAACTTATCATGATATTTCAATTATCAAGTATATCAATTATTTAATATATGACGCCACTATTTGGGGAAAATCACCTAAGTTGCAATAATAACTTTTGGACCGTAATTTTTGCAGCAATTGGGGTTGTACTATATCGTTTAAAGGTAAAAGGACTATAAACAGTCTATATTTTAATCAAAACCGTTAGAGCATTTTTTGTACAATCAATTTTTTTGTTATCTTTTAGGGAAATCATCATTAAAAATCAATATTACTGAAAACCTAAACATACACTTGGAGATACCATGAGTACCAAATTTACCCACATACCAAATTTCATCAAACTTAGGCCACAGGTGTAGTCTGTAGCTCTGTACAAATACACGCACACACAAATATTTTCACAAAAGTGGCTCGAATTATTTTGACTAAAATATATTAAGTAAAAGAAGTACCATATTAAGTAAATACCCCCGCCACAGCAAACCTGCAGACTAAGCGAATTTCCATTTCCCTGAATGGATTTACACTAAAATGTCTCCTTAAAAATATCCCATTTATTCCCTATTTAAATAGAATCAGTTTAAAACATACTTAGGTTTGCTGCAACAGGGAGGGTAAAAGTGATTTTTATGTAAAATGTTAATAGTTGGTAAGAAATAAAAACATTTTCCAAATTTGGGCAAAATATGTTAATAAACAAGCAAACTACAACAGTGTACTTATTCTCCATAAGAATAACATGGGAATTTTAAATTTACAATTTTTTGGAATTTTCTCCATAACCATTAGGCGCATTATAACGCTTCATTATACTAAATTATTTGTTTTTTTAAGCTCTACAAAATAGTTTAGAAAGAAATTGCAAAATTTTATGTTTTTTTCATGAAAGCCCCCATAAACCCCCGATCTCATGGTCCGATCATGCTGGTTCGCGAACTCGTTCGAATAAACGTAGGTTTACACGTTTGTACCAAATTTCATCAAAATCGGATCATTTTTGCTCGAGTTATCGCGCTAACGGACATATATATATATATATATATATATATATATATATATATATATATATATATATATATATATATATATATGTATTTGAACGGATGGTGCTTTTGGCCTCTAGGGACCTCAAAACGAAAAAAAATCTGTCCCGGGTCTAGGTCTTACCATGAGTACTACGGTAATAGCTTATTCCCTATATGGGAAATTCGCTAAAACGTAATATTAT